TATTTCTGATTTTAAAAAAGAAAAAAAAAATTGTCGGCCGCCATCTTGAAAAATAGCTCGAATGTCGGGAAAAATGTACGGAGCGGCCATTTTGAAAGAAAAAAAAAAGGGCCTCCTCCTTCCCATTTTTCGAAAAAACAGGATGCTAAACATGTTGTTTTTTTAATTTGGCCTTATATAAAAAAAAAAAAAATGATCCAACTGTACCGGTAGTTATTCTTTAAGCCACTGGAACTGCGTAGAGTTCCGTATTTTGGGTACCGACTACGCAGAAATTCGGCTGCGTAGTAATGGGAAAAAAAAGTCCCTGCGTAGGTTATGCGTATAGGCTGGCGTACAGGTTTGCTTATGGTTGCTTACTGTGTGGAAAGCTTTTACTGCTTAGTCGATCTGGCGTAGGGTAGCGTACTGTTGCATAAAAGGGCGTACTTTCTGCGTCAAGTTTCTACGCCGAAAGTACGCGAAAAAAATTAAACATGTTGAATTGTTTTCGTTCACCTTGCGTACCCCTTTCCATCCCTCAGCATATAGTAACGTAGGCCATCGTAGTTGGTACGCAACACTACGTATTGACCCCACGCCAATTAGTGACCCCGAGTGTCACAAAGTATTAAAAATATGCTCATCTGACCTTAATTAAACGCCTAAAACCCCCGAGCTTTCGGGGGTTTATGGCCCCTTGAAACCCGTGGACCCCACGCCTATATTATTTATACACTCATCTCGCTGCGATCTGATCTCTCCCCCCCCCCCCCAACTTTGAAGAACGTAACCCCCGAGCTTTTGGGGGTTTATGGCCCTTTAAACCCGTGGACCCCACGCCTATATTATATATACACTCAACTCAGTACCCGCGGGATTCTAGAGGGGGGCGCAGGCAAAAAATTAAGTTTTTCATGTCGGGGGCTCCATTTCAAATTTTGGGGAAATTTTTCGGGGGCTACTTTTTCAACTTTCGGGGGCTCTTTTTTCTGGGGCTACTTTTTCATTAATTCATAAAAAGATGGGCCTACACTTTGTTGAGATTTGTTTAGTAGGCCAAGGTTTCAGGCTTCCTACTTCATAATTGCCTATTTAAAAAAAAAACATTTTTCTAGTTCAATAACTAAGTTTTCATGCATTGATTTGATGCAAGAACTGTAACATAATAGACCCTAGATTGTGATTATTTCTGACCATGAATTTCGATAATCATTTTTCAAAGTAAAATTTTCACAAGAAAATCAGAGTCGTTTAAAAACGTAGACATTAAAATAGTTATTAATACTTTTACTAATTCTAAGCTCAGGTTTCGTAAATCTATTCACGAAACTATATTGAAATCGCGGCAATAATGATGCAAACCAACATTTTTCTAGTTCAATAACTAAGTTTTCATGCATTGATTTGATGCAAGAACTGTAACATAATAGACCCTAGATTGTGATTATTTCTGACCATGAATTTCGATAATCATTTTTCAAAGTAAAATTTAAATTAAAACGTAGACATTAGTAAAACTTTTACTAATTCTAAGCTCAGGTTTCGTAAATCTATTCACGAAACTATATTGAAATCGCGGCAATAATGATGCAAACCAACAATTTCAAAGTGTCAAATCTCTTCGACTCAGCTCAGGTAGAGCCTCAGGTGAACTCACACACACTACAGCGTAACTCCAGAGCTCGAACACCGGCGCCGCAGGCGTCGGACGCCTACGGTGCGCGGTGCCGGTTAGGAGCTTCCTGCAAGCTCATTTCAACTCACACACCGCACACAGCAGCATTGCACTGTGTGTTGACTGAAGGCAGCTTGCGATTGAATTGTCAGTCCAATGGTTTTCTTGTGAAAACTTTCCTTTAGAAAATGATAATCAAAATTTAGTTAGCATGGCCGTAATAATCACAAAATAAGCTTTTATTTCATACCTCCATTCACGAAAACTATATACAAATCGCGGCATTCATGACGGAAATGGGTCTCTAAGTTTGGACGTCGACGGGAAGCCCCGTGTAGCGCTACTACAATGGATATCCTATAGAAAGATGCTTTACTCGGGTAAGCCCGACCCTGTGCGTCGTGCATTTAATACGCAACTTAATGTGAGTGGACGGTCATCGGTCGTGTGTCTACGGATGTCATGTTGAATATCCATGAGGTATCTCTGTCGTCACGCATATCCTGCATTATGCATGTCGCGTCTGTTTTCGCCCTGGACGTCGACACGGAGGAGGACCTCGGGCGGAGTATAGCCAATTCGCTAGAGTAGACTCTCCCGCGGACGATGGCACAGGGCACGGGTACCCCGAGGGGAGGGTTCAGGAGGAGATAGCCGCACCAACTTGGGTCGGCGATCTCATTAAAAAACAATAGAATACAAAGGCTCGCCGAGACGTCGCGCCCCCCGCGGAGCCTTAGCGTATTACTATTATAGACAAGGTTGTTCAGAAATATTAATAACCACTGCAAAATTCATAATTTGTTTGTGTTGTAATAAATCAATAAAATCTTCCCAAATTATAGCACGGCATTAGGAATCACATTGTACCCTCACAAAAATGAATAAATGTCTTGCAATGTTGCAATATATACATGTACATACATGTTAGAATTTAATTGAAAATTCAGACACATAACATTTACATGTAGCTGCAGACAGATTTAGGATCATAAAAAAGGCTCAATTCTCAGACAACCTACAGATTAATCTGTTTAGATATTCCAATTTGTAATAAGAAAAAGGATTACAGATTTACTGTGGATTGTATCTGCACCAATTATTCTAATTCTCGCTGTTCTGTTTGATTCAATGAACAGATTCATCTTTCCAGATGGATGATGCCTGGTGAGGTTTAATAAATCTCTGATAAGAATCTCAAGATTCCTCATGTAATGTAGAATGATCTTCATGTTAAAAAATTGTTAATTCTATAAATACATATTTAAAGGCAATGATGTAAAGGCAGTATTTGTTACTTGAAGAAATTAAAAATGAGAGGAAACTGTCAAGAAATTATTCTGTAATTTTTAGCAGCTTCAATAGGTACTGTATTGAATGAGAGGTATTATGTTTTATGAAGTTGTTATAGCAGCACTACAAAGATATTACTCACTTTAACTTCTCACACACTTCTTATTGATTTTTCTAACACAAAATATCTCTTAAAAACCCCTTTTGATGGCATGTTGTCATATTCTCCATCATTAAATCTTTTGTTTAAATCTGAGTTAGTCATCATACATCACCAATTTTCTTTTTTTTATCACCCAAGTTTCTCTAGTACAACGTATTTTCTCTTCTGCAAATCCCCCCCCCCCCCCCACTCCCTTCTTCCCCTTTGGATCTTGTGTGTAAATCTTTACAAATACCGGGGCTCCACTCAAACATTTTTTTGAAACAGGCTCCATCTTAACGCCCTTTTAAATGTAAACCACTACTCACATTTTATCTCCCAGCTTAAAAGTACCCCATTATGCTGTCAAATTTGGGATACATCTTATTTTTCTTAGCACTCAACATTCTCATCTAATTCTTTCTTTTATTTCACACTCATCTCCCTCCTACTAAAGCAGGGATTTTCCTTATTCTCCGGGATACTTTTATGTGACTAATCTTTTACAATACCTTTCAAAGGATGAATGTTTACACATAGACCGCATTTTAAGCAATCTTTTGAGTAAAAACAGTGGATACATCAGGTTCTATCAGCCAATTCCTCCTCTTATTCACACACCCAAAGCTCCAAGACGGCTCTTCCTTTGGGAGAATCCCACCCATTATATGTTGGTCGTACCTCCATACCCCTCCCCAGATGGCGCTTCCTCTTAAATGTCTTCCTTTTTCTACCTCTTCCTCCCTTTTGTCTATCCCTTGCCAGGTTCCTCTCCCTCTGTCCTTCTTTTTGTCCCTTCCTCCTCTTCTATCCCTCCTTCCTCTTCTAGCCCTTCTTCTGCCCTTCCTATCCCTTCCTTCCTCTCCTTCCTTCCATACCACCCTCCTCTCCTTCCACCCAACTATCCCTCCTTTTCCCTTCCTTCCCTTCTATCCCTTACTCTATGGACCCTCCCCTTCCTATCCCTTCCTTCCTCTCCTTCCTTCGATCCCACCCTCCTCTCCTTCCACCCATCTATCCCTCCTTTTCTTCTTCCATCTTCCTCCTCCTTATCTCCTCGTTTAATCCATTCCTCCCTCCCTTTTTTCCTTCTTCCCTCTCCTTCTCTTCCACCCTCCCCCCTTCCTATCCCTTCCTCACCCTCCCACCATCCCTCCATCCACCCCTCTCACCATCCCTCCCTCACCTCCCCTGGATACATGAACCCACACCATCTGTGCTCCCAGTGTAATTGTATTTCTCCTGACCTTGACTTTCTAATTATTGATGCTTGCGAACACTTCTTCGCTGGATACACACCGATGTCTTGCCAGTACCGAGGAGAACGAAAACAAACAGCACACAAATTAAAGAAATGCAACTCTTTCACGTGCTTAGCATTCAGGTGCATTTTCCGCATTCTGTTATCAGAAAAGTGACCTTTGAATTGTCGGCCCAATGAAGTAGAAAAACTCCCATAGATAACCAACAAATTGATCATCGATTGACCTTTCCACATGCAGCATTTTTCTCCTCCAGAAAATATTTATGTCACATTATTTTTTTTTCGCTAACGCTCCAAATCATTTGTATCATATCATGTGTAATGTTCTTTCTGCATGATTATGATCTTCATATTTTGCAAACATTTTGCAGAGAGCTCTCTCCTGTACTACATCATTTGTGTAACCGAACATTATACATATGAATAGAAGTCTTAAGCGCTTAAAGAATTCGGTGAAAAGCGCTTCATAAGCACCGTTTTTATTATTACAAATAATATTTCTGTTAAATTCCCCAGGCTCATACCATTAACACTAGACATCAAATGTTGAGTTCTTCATTCCTCAACTACATGTATTACGAAACGAAAATTCGTGAAAGAAAACTAAATACTGCAGGCATATGGATACGTACAACATACAAATTTAAAGGTATGGAATATATACATGCAACTGGCACTATTACGGTGGGTATTACTTTATGATAACTTTCCGGGTCTCCTCTCGGCAGCTGTATTCTAAATGGCCATTAATGGGCATATTAAGGCCATTTCTCTGCAGGTGCTGGCTGCTTTGTGCGCCAGTTTTGATGTCATTACCATTACAATCTTCTTCCCATTCTCCCCCAAATAGCTCTGCACGTCAATTGCGTTTCCAGGGCATTTCATCTTTACTCTCTTCTACAATTTTTCTCCTCATGTAGGCATTTTTGCTTTTGTTGTTTTGTTGTTTATATTGTTCTGATTTTTCGGAGTGATGCTGTCAAGGATTTCTCTTTCTTTTTATTAATTGTGTTAAATGTCGTCATTTCCATTTTCATGTTTCCTGTTTAGTCATCATGAGTGATAACATTTCTTTTTCACGTTTCCTCCCTATTCGTCTTTGATTTCCTCCCTATATTCCTCTTTTGATCCTGCTTTACTTTTCTGAATTGAAGTTCTCTTCTTTTCTTCAACATCATCTCTATTGCTTCTCTCTCTCTCTCTCTCTCTCTCTCTTTTTCCCTCTTTCACTCTCTCTCTCTCTCTCTCTCTCTCTCTCTCTCTCTCTCTAGCCCTACACATACCATTTGTTTAATACCTGTCTCTTTCTGTCTTTCTCTCTATGTTCTGCTCTTTGCAATCAAGACATTTGATGCCCAAAATATTGGGCTAAATGAATGATTTGGGCAGATGTGTTAGATGCATAAATGCCCCTTGCCAAAACCAAAAGAAGTAATCGTTTTAATCATAATAGATTAAAAATGCCATCATCAAACTTCTTATACCTAATAGCAAGTATAAACAAAACTGAGGTTGAAATACGTTTTCTAGGCATAAAACAAATTGTTACACTGAACATGAAAAACAAATTATAAAAGGAAATGAAAGAAATGTGAACACTTACACTGTTGAGGGATTTTATCCTTGTGAGGGCAACCAGATAAACTGTGGATGGAATTAAAAGTTGAACAACATTGACAGCTTTAGAATTTGAAATGAAAAGTTACCTTATGTCCATAATCAACTCTCATGACATCACAATCACCATGACAGCCAACCATTATTATCTGCTTTAATCACCACACTGTATCATTATAAGAACTAGATTTCACTTACATGTAGCTCCCCCATACATGTCGTTGCCTAAGTATTAAAAATATGCAGGCAAAATCTGTCCTACGTCAATTAGCATTGTTTGCTCAACATCGTTTTAATTATTAGCATGGAAACAACATTTCAATAACAACAACAATTCTTAATATCAGTTGATAAACATAAACAAAACTAGAACTGCCATCATAATTCACAATTTCATCATCACTTTGTACTTCCGAAGTCAACTTCACAATACTTGCTATAGCCACATTGATAACAAACAAAAAAACTTCAAGTATACTTGCACACAAAATGAATTTCACAGCTATCATTGCAAGAAATCCTATAACTAATATCATTAATCACAATCATAGAACTTATCATCACTACAAACAAACATTTCACAATGATCCCCCAACCAACAAAATAAAATTCGTCATCAAGACATCGACACTATATGTACCAGCGTCATCTCCACAAACACCACCACCATCACCACCACCACCACCCTCACTCTCATCATCATCATCACCACCACCATCAATGCATCATCATCATCTTCATTAACATGAACATGCAAATCACCACCATCATCATCATCACCATCTTTATCATCATCATTATTACCGCCGCCGCCGCCGCCACCACCACCGCCACCACCACCACCACCACCACCACCACCACCACCATCATCATCCTCACTATCATCATCACAACCATCACCATCATCATCACTATCATCATAATCACCACCACCATCATCCTCACCATCTTTATAATCTTCATCATCACCACCACCACCACCACCATTATCATCATCATCATCATAACCCTTACCATCACCACCATCACCATCATCATCATCATTATTATCATCATCATTCTCATCATTACCATCACCATCTCCACCACCACCATCATCATCACCACCATCATCATCCTAACCACCATTATCACCACCATCATTCTCACCTTTATAATCATCATCACCACCACCACCATCATCCTAACCACCATTATCATCATCATCATCTTCATCACCATCACCATCATCATCTTCATCTTCATCTTCATCACCACCACCACCATCGCTCTACACTACTGCCTACTTACCTTCTATGATGGCTGTACAAGCCTGTAACATGCCCCGTCCCATCACATCCAGGCGTAGGACACTTACTGCACTCCATATTCCCCAGTTCAGGTGGCGCTGAAAGACACAAACGAAGAAACAAAACAATATTTTAGATGGTGTTATTTAATATTCAAAAGAGGAATTAAGTGCTTGACTAAATACAAATTGCTTAATTGAAATTGCTACAAAAAAAGTAAATTGACAATTTTTACAAGAAATTTACTCAATTCATTTTTTTTCTTCCAAATGCATTTACTGGTAAGTGATGAATGTAATTATCTTAGTTTTCTTGAGCATCAAAAGCAATGGACATATTCTAATTTTCAAAATTGTTAACTACCTGCCAGGCTTTAGATTGGTCTCAAGTAAAGTATGACAAAGTCAGACAATAGTCTACGGTTTCCCTTTGTTCATCAGGATTCAGTCCCTGCGTAGACTTTAATTTGAATTGGTAAAATTCTTGCCTCTTGAGTTTGTTTCTTAAAGTGGTTAACCTGACTTTTGATTTTTCTTCACTTATTTCAACTTTTTAAAGCATATCTGCACTAGTTTGGCCAGAAGAGATTAGACCTCCCTGCCATGGTCACTGACAGGTGGTTATCTCATCAAACAAGCTCTCAATTAACATAAGAAAAAGGGGATCATGGGGGACCAATGGTCACTGATTAGGCATTGTTTTATATATAGAGGGCGCAAGTAGCTATAAGTAGTGCAGTGGGGCTTTAAAGAATTGCATCAAAAACATGGCATATTGACAAACCTGGCAAGCTGGCAGTGGATAATGCTGTTGATGCAGCAGTAACCGGGACGACAGGGGGTGGAGCTCTGTGAGAGTCACTTATCAGTCGAGACATCATGTGATGATCTTCTGGAACCATGTCCATGTCACTGTCCATGGGATCCACCACCTCTTGTTTGATCTGGGACACCTTGATCGGTAGCATGTTGTTCAAGGCATCCTGAGATAGGGCAAGATTGCTTGGGTGTGAGAAGGCCGTCTCTGGGATACCCACGTCGCTTGGTGTGTGTGAGAAGGCCGTCTCCGGCGGGATGCCCACATTGCTTGCTGTGTGTGAGAAGGCCGTCTCAGGGATGCCTACGTTGCTTAGTGGCGGTGGCGATGGCAGCGGCAGCTCCTCCTCTTCCTCTTGCTCTTGCTCCTGTTCTGTTGGGGGAGCTGATACAATTTCACTGGCTACTGGGGTGGGGACGCTCTCCTGGGGGGTTTCAGCGGGTGAGGGTGATTGCACAGAACTCGCTGGGACAGGACCAACTGTCTGTTTCTTCCGATTCTCTTCAAGTTCTTGGGAAAGTTGTTCACTGAGAACTCGCAGGTGCATGGGCAAACCGTTGTCGTCTTCCTCGTCCAACTTGGATGAAGTTCTTGATGACACCTGTTCATCGATGACCAACGAGGGGGCTTCACCGTACATTTCCTCCTCATCCGCACCCTCGTGGGTGACCTCTCGCTCCCCCTCCCCCTGACCTCCGTTCATCCCTTCCCCGCTCCCGTTGGTACTGTCTTCACATGGTACAGAGTTGTTTCCCACAAGGTCGGGAGCCGTCTCTAAGACTGGCATATCTTGGTTCAGGAATGCAAGCTCCTTGTGGAGCTTAGGAGGAGCACACGTCTCCGCGTCCGTAACAGAGGAGTCTTCCTTCTCCTCCTCCTCCTCCTCCTCTTCCACAACACTTTCCTCAGTATCCTCAATGGAACCCATCTTATCTTGTTCACCAGTCCATTCCTCCTCCTCCTGTGTCTCTTCCTTTTCAGCACTCTGCTCTTCTGTCACTCCGCTTTCTTCTTCCACTGCTGCATCTACTTCTTGCTCCTCTTCTTGTTCTTCCTCATCCACTTCCATACCTTCAGCTTCCTTCTCTCCAACCCCAACCCCAACCCCATCCTCACCCCCTTCTCCCTCTTCTTCCTCTCTTGTTTTCGCTGCATCCTCCGCCTCATCTTTCTCTGTCTCTTTCGATGCAACAACATCTTCACTCTTCTGGCCCCCTCCTCCTCCTCCTCCTTCTTTGTCATCCACTCCCTCCTCCTGCTCCTTCTCATGTCTGATCTCTTCCGTTACGTTATCAATCAACCTCTGGAGGTTGACTATCGCTCTCCGGCTACACTTTGCTTGCACATCCTCGTCTTGACTCGAGATGGAGTTAGCATCGTCTGTGTCTGGATTCAGAGCCAGCACCTTGGCACTGGTGGGGCCTTCCTCAGTCGGGGCGGCTGTCGCCGTCTCCTCCTGGCTACTGGGCGGGGCACCTCGCTTCCTTGACAACCTCTTCATCCTTTTGTTGGGCTCTGGCTCCGGTGGTGGAAGCTCGGGCTCTGCCTTTTTCTTCTTGGCTGCGATCGGACACCTGTTTGCACTGTCGAGACAAAAAGAGATTCAAGATACACAATTTATTATTTTATGGGAGACTTATTTGTTATCATCTAGAATCAGATAGTAGGTCTTTTGGCTTAGGCTCAGATTCAAACTAGAGTATCTGTAAAGTCATATAAGATTAACAGTATACTTTCATTGCCAGTAAACACAAACTCATATATCGGTGTAATACAAGTTACAAGTAAGAACAAGTTTTCAATACTACATGTGTTCAACTCAATAGAGATAGATAGAATATTAAGTGTGAAACACCTCCATTTTGAATGAGTCCCTAAACTGCTTTTTGACCACAAAAAAAATTCACTTGCAATCTTGTAACTCACATATCAGTAAGCATGTGGAGGATATTGATGTAAGTATGTATATTTTAAGAGGAAAAAAGAATTACCACCAAAATGTGTTTGTCAGTAATTCATTTGCAGCCACAATTCTGCCTCAGTTTTGTGTGGAACATGGAATATGTATGTACATATGTATTCTGAAATTGGGAAATTTATATAAAGTATGAACCAGCATGTAAATATGCACAAATAGATCGTGCTCCCTACAAACGATAGATCATTGTGCGTGTCTACAACACTAGTGAGAACACATCCCTATTACCCTCAAGCAAAGAGTGAGGAAGCAACTGTAATTCCAATGAAAATTCATGTTTCAGCTGATTGGAGTTGCCACATAAAGTGGTTTCTCCCATGCACAATCATTCCCAACAGATAGGGAACATGTTTACTCTTCATGGGTGTTTCATTGTTTTTTAACATTTTATTGGACTCTCCTCTTCCATCTCTCTTTTTCTTCTCCAACTATCCCTCCTTCTTTCCCATCTATCCTCCTCTCCCATCGATCCCCCTTCCCCTCTCCCATTAATCCCCTTCCCCTCTTCCTCTTTCCAACTCCTTTCCCTCAGCATCTATTCCTTCCTCCTCTCTCCATATCTATGTGTAATCCTTTCTCTCCCCTAATTCCCCTTTCCCCCACCTATTCTCCGGCTTCTTCCCTCTTATCCTATCCTCTAACATCTGAATCTATCCCTTCCAAGATCTATCCTCCCTAAAGAAAGAGGGAAAGAAAGGATAGAGGGTAAGACGGGAGAGAGAGATATAGAAGGAAGTGGGTTAGACAGAGATGGGAAAGACAGAAAAGGGGCAAGACAGGGAGAGAAGAGGAGAAAGAGAATAGAGAGTAAGAAAGATAGAAGGCAAGAGGGAAAGAGGGGAAGAACGCAGAGGGTGAGAACGAAGACGCTGAAAGAGAAAAAAAGAGGGGCAATAGAGGGACTGAGAGAGATGAGACGGGGAAAGAAAAAGAGAAAGAAAGACATAAAAGAGAAAAGGAAGAAGAGAAAAGGAAGAGAGAGAAAGGGAAGAGAGAGAAAGGGAAGAGAGAGAAAGGGAAGAGAGAGAAAGGGAAGAAAGAGAAAGGGAAGAAAGGGAAAGGGAAGAGAGAGAAAAGGAAGAAAGAGAAAAGGAAGAAAGAGAAAGGAAGAGAAAAGGAAGAGAAAAGGAAGAAAAGAGGAAAAAAGAGAAAGGAAGAGAAAAGGAAGAAAAAGATGGGAAGATAAAAGGAAGAAGAGAAAGAGTAAGGGTGCACATAGAGACAAATCAGTCTGAGAAACCAGTCAAAATAAAGATCAGTCTTCCAGTCTAGCAGCCAGCCAGCCAGCCAGCCAGCTAGGTCACCATAAATGATTTACAGCCCCCGATCTCCTCTCATCCCATCTCGTCTCGCCTGTCCATTTAACCATCTTCAGGACAGCGAGCCCACACTAAAGTGCACACACTCCATTCCACGAAACACAACAACAACCTAGCACATCTTTGAGAATGATTCAACAAGATATCCTCTGAGATTTGATGACCAGACAAGCACGCTTCATTTCACTTTGCTTGCCCCATGAAGCCCTAGGCAAGAAAAAGGCTAGAAATCAATGCTTGTCTCAAAATTCGCAAAGCAAGCACCGGTAAACAAGAACATTTTCGTTGGGGAATATCAGCTAATTCTAACTGCTTTGATATCTTCTTATTATACCAAATGAAAGAATCCTTTAAAGTCATAAGCTTAAAATTCACTATACTCGTTATCAAATACATATTTCAAACCAGTTATACAGAAAGTTACATGTACATGTAGGGTGGTATTGCTCCTAAAAGCAAAAATAATATTTATCAGAATACTCTTATCAATGGTTTCACATCTTCAGCTGATGTCCAGTCTACGTAACTAAGCACTTCTTTGCTCCAGCCCCCCCCCCACCCTCCTAATCTCCTTTCTTTCTTTCTTTCTTTCTTTCTTTCTCTCTCTGTCTCTCTCCTTCCCTCCTTTTCTCCCTCTCGCCCTCCATCATTCCTCCCTTCTCTCTCTCTCTCCTTCACCTCTCTCTCTCTCTGTCTCTCTTTCTCTCCTTCACCTCTCTCTCTCTCTCTCTCTCTCTCTCTCTCTCTCTTCTCTCTCTCTCCATCATCCCTCCTTTCTCTCTCTCTCAAAATGTATTTCTCTATACCCCCTCTCCATGTATCAGAGAACATTACACAAATACCTATTAATTTGTTTTATTTTCCATGTACTCATACGCTTCATACAGTACACAATTAATTTTATATAACATCCTCAGCATATTTTGCTAATAACAGTAGACATACTATTCTCAGGGGAATATAGGCCACCTGCTTATAGCCTACAATTCAGGCACTCCACTATTCAACATCCTCTCGTTTGCGGTGTATTTAAATCAAGTCTGAGGAGCAGAGACTATTCCACTATCACTCTCAAAGAGGCCAACACAATGTACAAGACAATAAAGGGAGAGCAACAAAAAGTCTAGAGCCAAAACTTCCAGATCAACAAAAATCATTTTCTTTGGAAGGAGAACAACAAAATCATGCCACCTGGAAGCTAGGCTAACCATCAACTCATCAAGATGCACTTTCTATACAAAAGGCCTGTATTGACTTTTAATGATGGTTTCAAAACCCCTGTATAATTGTTAATGAGGTGAGAGCAATAGTAGTAGCCACGAACATTTGACACTTAGTTGAGAAAGAATGAGTCGCGTGTCATTTGTAAAAGCTGCGCCATATCTGGACTTTTTTTAATCAATAGAGAAGGCAAATATCAGCTTCATAATTAAATAGTCAGTTCGACGTATACAGAAAGGCATTTAAAATTCCTGTTGTATTTGCTTCTCTACGACACCTTGAAATCAGTGCTGTACAATTTTCTGAGTCTTGACAATATATCCCCTGCTAATAATAATAATAAGCTCAATGTGTTAATGACTTTTCAGACAGAATTTATCATAATAATGAAGATATAACCCAGTTATTTTGGTTATGTATTTTGTCTCATTATGAGCATGTTTATATTGTATTGCTTGTACCAACCAGTGAAAATCATATTTCCCGATATGCACAATTAATTATGTACTTATACTTATAATGAATAATAAATCATATCCATACGGTACACGGATGTTAATCACCCATAGATTTAGAGAGCATTATTCAGAAGGAGTTCTAGCGCACATTGGCCCAGAAAGGGCAACTATGAAGGAGTCATACTAGGCCTGTCTTCATCAGCTCCAGTTTGCCAAATAAACAGCTATTTTAACTATCCCAATCGCAAATTAGCCAGTTAAGTTGCGGCTTCATCAGCCCGCAGTTGCAATTAGCGGGATATTTGGTCAAGAAAATATCCTGAGAAATGTTGGTTTTGTTTTAAAAATATCCGGCTATTTAGGAAATAGCAGGCTAATTTGCGCCTATCAGAGCTAGTTTGTGATGAGCGTATTGGTCTGGTGAAGACGCAATTTCAAGCTTCGGGATAATATCCCGAGTCTGAAAATAGCAGGTTATTTGTCAAACTGATGAAGACAGCCTCAGTCCCACGGCCAGTCTGACTCAAGACAGACTACAAACTGACTGATGTTTGGCTATCTGGGGTAAATGTTTTCTGTATGTAGTCGGTCTGGTGTCTCACCTTCGGTATGACTGAGGCATTAGAGATGCATAGTAGTAGGCTCTCATGTGGAATTCGACACCATTTGGGTGTTTACCTAATAAACAGGTGTTGTCAATCACCAGGATAAGACTCAGTTTTAAGACCAACAGGCCTTATGTAATGCACTGCATTTTCCACACATTTCCCCATATGGTAAATGGTAAAGTCATTATCTTCCATTTCTCCCACCCAAAGACCCAGAGAGGGTATTTCTTGATGGGACTACGGGTTTGCTGTGTGCAGATTTGTACACCCATTAGTGGTATTTTTACCAAGTCTGGTGTCAGCGAATTATGATCGTCTGCAAATGGAAACTGACAACTCTCTCCCTTTAAAGCTTATCTGCCGTAGTTTACAGGAGGGATTAAACCGCTCTACAAGGTCACTGGACAGGTGGCTATCTCATCAACTCAGCTCTCAGTTGACATAAGAAAAAGAGGATCATGGGGGACCAATGGTCACCGATTAGGCACTGTTTGTTATATAGAGGGCGCAAGTAGTTACCAGTAGTGCAGTGGGCCTTTAAGGTGTACCAATCACCTTAACATAATTGGTGTACGACTCAAATGTGTAACATCAATCTCAGAAACTGTACTCTGTACGATAGGCAGACATTTTGCGGAATTTCCTTTGCTGATAGAGAAGGATACAGCAGATATTTGCATGATTCGTTGGGCAGGATGGAGGGAAAGGCTAATGCCTGACCTTTACATTGCTGTCAATATTGATTGCACATTTTTGAATTATTAATGCTGGTAATATGAGCACAGGAATGAGCTCGTCTAGTTAAACAGCTGAAACTGTCCGCAAGGGGAAAAAAATAAATGATGAAAAGTTCTAGGTTTCTACGAAGAAGATGCATGAGGCAGTGCCATGATCAAATACATGGTTAAAATCACCCATGTCTCATTAAATACGCAACTTTCCGCAGACTGCACGAAGGGCGGCAACTATACATCTTACATGGAAATTATACTAAATGTCATCCCCACGCATGCATTTTTGAGTAGGGAAAATAATGGAATGTAAAATTCAACTGCTCAGAGCAAACAAGCTATGAACAAGCTGATCAATGAAGACCATTTGGCCCTGAATATCTAGTCAGTTTTCCTCTTATTCCTTTGGTTGTACATCACCTAAAAAGAAAATTTCTTCAAATTCGCTCCTGACATGGTTCAGACTAATTGTGTGGTGTGTTTTCAAGTCAATTTTGTGAATGTATTTTTTGTATGAATTTGCCTACCCAAAGTCCGCCCCCCCCCAAAAAAAAACCAATAGCTCTAGTCTTTAGCGCACAGACCCTTAAAAATCAATTGGGTCCCCATATAGTTTGGAGTTATGTATTGGATATCGCATATTCATATTCTAAAGCATTAACTAAGCATATTTCATTTTAAAAGACAAAATTCATTCTTATAACATTCATTCTTGATAATAGAAGATATGGATCATTTGAATCATTTTAAGCCTTTTAAACTAACTTTTACAAAATATTTTCATGGATGCTAACGGCTTTCCATAATTGTTAAGTCCAACTTAAAGATAAGTTCAACTTGGGATCTTTGTGAAACACCCCCCTGGAACACATCATGAGCATCTCCTGTAGAACATGGATGACACATGTGTTTTGGAACTGATTGCATCTATCTTATTTATTTACATGATGGGAAAAGCAATTTCAATTTAGCAGATTGGGTTCAATTTGCGGGATGCGCCGGCCGTGGACGCAGACAGATTTCGGTGAAACCGTGTACGGTTTGAATGTGCATTGACGTGCCCCACGCACTGTGAGGGAGTCTGGCTGGCTGATTTATTGCAACAAGTAAAAAGGTTGGGGGATGCATGTACAGATGTGGATTGTAAGAGGATTGGATATATAGAGGGAGTACTTGTGGGAGGGAGACTGCAAGAGATAGAGATAGAGACAAAGACAGAGACAGAGAGAGAGAGAGAGGGAGAGAGAGAGGGAGAGAGACAGACAAAGACAGATAGACAGAGAGGGACATACACAATCGTAACAGTTGGGAGAGTAAGAGAAGAGAGGGGGAGGATAAGATCAAGAAATACACGGTGCTCAGAGAGAGAGAGATATACCAAAAGAGGCATAATGGAAGAGGAGGAAAGGAAGACAGATGTATAAAAAAAAATAAAAGGAAAGAGGGAGGGGCAGAGAGACAGAGAGAGAAAGAGAAAGAGAGAGAGGAAGAGAGAAAGTGGAAGAGAGAAAAACAGAAGAGAGAGAGAGAGAGAGAAAGAGAGAAAGAGAGAAAGAGAGGATGAGAGAAAGTGGAAGAGAAAAGATGGAAGAGGAAGAGAGACAGATAGAGGAAGAGAAAGAAATGGAAGAAAGAGGAAGGGAGAAAGAGGAAGAGAGGACAATGCAGAGAGAGGAAAATAGAAAGGGAGATATCAGACAGAGATCACAACAATGAAGTCACTGCAATCTACTAAATATTGACTAAAAATGATGCTCAAAAGGAGACACCGCTTGAATTTAGATATATTGACTTTGGCCGGTGGCTCTTTTCTTCATGCTGAATTCCTCCTACTCAACTCGTCGTCGTCGGCTTTCCTTATTGAAAGTCAATTCCATTTGCATCTCTGATCCAAAAGCCAAGCAATAAATCAGATTTTCCACCCGAATGCTTTCAGGGGAAGAAGTAACTAGCAGAGACTGGGAGAGAGGTGAACGAGATTTAAATCCCTATCAAAATGCGCAATCTCGTTTCACTGTCTCCGTCGTTTGTTCTGTTGATCTTGAGGATTTTAGGCGCATCTGATTAGCAGGGTGCTGTCAGGTGCACGAGATTTGATAATTCTAATTGACTCGCACTACTTTAGTGGCCTGTGGAAGTCTAAAATATATAGTATAAGAAACCATCATTGCAGCACCAGTGTACACACAATTCAGTGTCGAGAATGGATTCTCCCAAAATAATGAACCCTACACTGTATGTCAGGGAACTACACTATGTGTCCAATAGAAACTGACCCTCTAAATCAAATATCCTAAATTTCAACATGTACAAAAAAGGGAGTCTTTTTTAAAGCAATTTTCATAAACTGACTCCTAAAACTAGCAGTTGATTTAAATCAACTGTGTTTTGGTATTGGTTCTGGAAGCCGCTATTACCAAATTATATAAAATAAACCCCACCAGGCACCTATTCAATACACCCGTGTCAAGAGTGAACAAAGTAGATGAAATGCCTTGTTCAAGAACATTATAACCACCCTACGAATAGATTTGAACTTACAACCTTTTAACTGAAAGCCAATGAACAACCATGCCACAATGCTTCTCTCCACGTATCAAACAATTTTGTAGGGCACTAGTGGTGGTATATTTTTCAAAGAGTATTTTGATTTCAGTATTTTAATATTAACCTTTTAATTGAAAGTCAACGAACAACCATGCCACAATGCTTCTCTCCACGTATCAAACAATTTTGTAGGGCACTACTGGTGGTATATTATTCAAAGAGCAGAATGCCACAGATCTCTGCATTATGTGATCACAAAGGTCTCTAATGGAGATAGGTCCACTGTGACCTTTGCGACCAGCCGATAGTTCAATGCTTCTGTCACGGAGGAAAGAGAGTTCTCTTGGAGAATTGAAGTGGTCACTTTTCAAAAAGGTGACCTTTCTGACAAACATGGCAGCTTGAACTGGCACAGAAGGTGGATGTGAGTGTGTTTCAGCCCTGTATGAACATGGACGTGCCTTGCCATATTAAGTCGATTACAGGAATACAGTACAACATGTACTGGAATTACACAGTTACCAGCATTTCTAGAAACAAATTCCCTGATTCTAAGCTAATTTGTCCCTGGTATTTTGCCCTGATGGAGTTTCAGAATTGCATGATCATTAAAGAAGGCACTTGACACATAGAAAAGCCAACATAGCAAATCATTCAGAGGATAAAATATGAACTTTCCATGCTCTATTTCTCCTCAATGCTCCTTGCAACTACAAATCAACTAAACAAACATAATGTACTTTATGAATATAATATCGGTATCTGTATCATTAATTCTTATATTACAGGAAAAAGGACTTTAAAAAGGAAATATTCAAATGTTTTCCCATAATTTACAATGTTAGCCTGATTAGATCTTCGCCTGACAAAAGATCACCAAAGTAAATAAAAACTGATAAGTTGTTTACATTTGTACTCCTTCAATTGAACCCAGGATAAACATGAAACATAAACAACTCTAAGTGTTGCAAATCAAGCCATGTTTATTCAAGCAATCTTTCTGTCTTGAACAGGAACTTCCATATGTTTGTGTTTTTACAATATTGAAGGACAAATACAACTTTCCTTCCTCATTCATGAAGTATTAATGCAAACACGGTAATTTAAGCCTGATTAGATTTCTGTAGAAGTCTTTGACAGAATCCTTATACTCTGAGGAGTTTCGTATGAAAATATAAACGCTAGCGGTTTACTGAAACGTAAATACTTCATTCTCGTATGAATGAAAGTAATAGTGATCTGGTGAACTACAACCTCATGAGCCTAGGGCCTTAAAGGTGTACATCTCCTTAGGAAACCTCGGGGAGGACCTAAAGCTGTTGGTCCTCTGGGTGCTTACTAACAAGCATTTATGCTTTCTTAGTAGTCAGGTAACATAACCTCTACTAAAAAAAATGTCGTTCTGGAAAGTTCTTTTGATATCCGTGACCAAAAGGGGTGTTTTTAACCCATTGCTTACTGGAACCTGGTGGTCCCTGTGTTAAGTCTATGGGAATAAGATGATTCAGTAGTCAACGGGTTAAATGATATAAAGAGAAATCCTATTATTCTCATTAAAAATGAGCATTAATTTTCTATCGGAAACTTATTTTCTTAAAACATTCCAAAGATTGTTTCTTCTTCCTAGATTAAAAAAAAAGCTATCAGTGAACAAAAGAACTCCTGTCACTAGTCACGACTGTATATCATAAATTTTGAATGGTAACGTCACATAGCCCTCCACAAATGCCCTCTTTAAAGCCCCTCTGCACTAGTTTTGGCATGGAGGGATTAGACCACCCTGCTGGTCAGGTGATTATCTCATCCACTCAGCTCTCAATTAACATAAGAAAAGGGGTATCATGGGGGACCAACGGTCACCGACTAGGCATTGTTTGCTATATATAGAGGGCGCAAGTAGCTACAAGTAGTGCAGTGGGGCTTTATAACAAACCAGATTTCTTACCTTCTATGTCTCGTATATTTCCCTCCACTATGCCCTGACCCGTCACAACCACGCGTCGTACAGCTGCTAGACAGATAAAACACACACACGTACATCAAATGTAAACACAATTCCATGATACAGCTGTAAACATGAACAAAATCATCTGTTTGGCGCCAGAAGGGCATTCACGATTTACTTTAACTCAAGAGTTAACGTCCATCTGGCCCTGAAAAGACTAAATAATCGTCTATATACATGAAAGCTTCTTCCTTGCATATTTTTTCTATTTATGGACTCCAAAACAGTTTGCATCAAGATTAAAGATGAAAATTACTCCCTTATTTAGGCTTTGATACCCCAAAAACCAAAATCCTTGGGGAAGAAATTACTTCTGTTATATTTGATAGTTAAAGTTCTCCCGCAGCTTTAGCGGCTATCAAGAGTTAATGGCTCTTAGCTCCTGTGCAATTAAGATATTTGTATAGCCAAGATTATACTTATGGGAATGCATACCAACTATTTACTCAGAATTAAGCAACGACGCAGTACTGCAAAAAGAAAATAATCGAAGTGGAGGAGTTTTGCTTCATTAAAATCATAATTTATCGTGAACGTACATACGGATACCGGTATATCTTGTACATGTGCAACATTATGACTATAATATGACCTAGTGCAGAATGGTCAAGTACCCAATCCATACAGAACACTTTTCTTTCTTTCATTTGTTCCCCTCCTGAAAGAGTTATTTTCGCTTAAAATAATTATGTCAACCCCAATAAATAGCTTACCTTTGTATATCAGGTGCAGGCTCCACTGCAAATTAAAACAAAAATATTAAAAGAATTGTTACCGTAAAAGACAGAAAAATATCAAGAGAAATTATGTGTCTTTGCTTTAATAGAACAGACAAACTTCTAGAAAAACAGCCCGAGGTGTACTCAGAGTATATATTGCATCTAATCATTTCCTCTCAACAGCTAAATAATCATGATCCCTTACTCAAAATAGAGCCCTTGTATCCATGAATCCATGTAAAGCATTGCCTCGTCCCTTTCTCGTCTCTGTTGGCATCCCCCTTTTTCTTTCCCCTATTTTGTAGTTCCTTTTGTATAGTTACGGATTAGGTAATGTAATTACTCATTATTCTTAAGTATCATTTGAGGTGTTCACACTTGTACAAGCATTGCTTTTTAGTGGACCCCTCTGTTTCCAACATGTATTTCTTACATTTGTTTTAAATGCTTATAATTGATTAGTAATGTTTTGTTGGAAACATGAATAAATTGAAATCGAATTGAAATTCAGTGTTATTCTCTTCACATTTATACCACATGGGAAATGAATGGCAAGCTTGACAATCCAGGGCAGCGTTTCATGAAACCGTCATAAGTACAAGTTCCCAGACATCCCATTGAAACGTGTGTTAAACTTAATACACGCATTTCAATGGGATGTCGGTGAACTTGTACTTACAGTATGACGGTTTCGTGAGACGCTGCCCTGGATCTTCAAGCAAAAACAAGAGCTTTATTCGACTGCACGCAAGTCAACAATTATGTATCTGCCCTGAGTGCAATTATCACTTTTGCACATTTCACCAGAAGCTTTCATATATTACCATAATAAGCACTCTGGAATTTGATAACAATGCATACATACTTCATCCAAGTTTGATTTGAAGTGCTTTTCAAGTAACTAGATTTTTATTTGTAATTTTTTTACATTTTCTCTCATAAAGTTCATTTTGGATAAACACACCACTGTTAATTGCATTTGGGAGAAGTTTTTCTTGGGAAAGTTATTACTTTAGCCCAAGACACTGGAAAATAAAAGCAATTGGTTTACACCGGTAGTTATCAAAGGGTTTTATGAGGGTAATTCTGTCCCGGGTAAATTACTTTTATCCAAGGAAGGTCCATTCTATGTCCTCTCTCAGGAAGTTGTTATGAGTTTGTTGTTCCTTCATTGGTAAAATTGATAGCTTTGGGTAAAATCAGGAACTATAGACAGAATAAAAGGATACATAAATAAAAGACGGGCAAGAGGAAAACATAAAGGGAGAGACTGGGATATATAACTATCAGGGCAATAGAGATGTACAGTACATAGAGAGGGAAAAGAGGGAAGTGGCATATTAGAAAGAGAGAGGGTGGGAGAGAAAGAAGGGAGGAAGATATGCAGAGTGAAAGAGGAGAGAGAGAGAGAGAGAGAGGGGGTGTTGTAGAAAGATAAAGAGATAAATAAACCCTTATCTATGGACAGAGTGAAACTTAGAGGGGATACAGAGGGACAGAGACAGAGGGACAGAGACGAGAGAGAGAGAGAGAGAGACAGGAGAGAAGGGGAAGGAGACAGAGAAAGAAGGAAGAGATGCAGAGTGAAAGAGGAGAGAGAGAGAGAGAGGGGGGGGTGTTGAAGAAAGATAAAGAGATAAATAAAAATCTATGGCAGCTAAAAACCCTGAGCTGAGGTCTATAGAACATGCATGTTATACCAAAATCAAAAAATTACCAAAAGCAAGAGAGAGAAAGAAATAATGAGCATGTGAGAAAGAGCGGAGAAAAAGAATGACAGAAAGAGAGAAGAAAACAAGAGAGAGAAAAGGAAGAGAGTAAAGGCTTATTCAGATATGCAGAGGCAAACCCCTGCAAAAGAAAAGCAGTGTGTTATTTTTTATAAAGAATGTCAATTTTGTAGAGGAAACAACATTTTAATGGATGGGGGAAGGGGGGGGGGGGGGGTGCGGCTTCATAATTGAATGGGATCTAAGAGAGAAACAGGGAAGGAGAAAGATAGAAATAGATACTGTAGAAGACTGTTAGAAGATGAAAACATTGAACATGCTGGATTATAATATAGGAGGAAAAATGAAAATGAAAATGGAAGTAAAAACACAAAAGACAAGAAACTAAATATCGCAAGAACATACATTCCTCATGTGACTAATAAGGAGGACAAGGTTTTCTTTTAACTGCCTGAACCTTTTGATTTTCCAATCTCTGAAAAGGTCTTTAAAAAGAGATGAAGAAAGTCTTACCTGGAAGTCCTTTAGCGCTGCTTCTCAGACGACGCTCCTCCCCATCTGCTGATTCCTGTTAAAGAAAGGAAACAATAAAAAGTTTGAAGAGAATGTCATGAGTTTTGTATTGTTCTATACTAACACAGAGAAGGCAGGATAGGGAAGGGAGAGAGAGTAAGATAAAGAGAGAGAATGAGAAAGAGAGAGAGAGAGGAGAAAGAGAGATAGAGAGAGAGAGAAAGAGAGATAGAGGGAGGTAGAGAGGTAGAGGGAGGTAGAGAGAGATAGAGGGAGGTAGAGAGATAGAGAGAGGTAGAGAGATAGAGAGAGGTAGAGAGAGGTAGAGAGAGAGATAGAGAAAGAGAGGGAGAATGAGAGATAGAGGGAGAGAGAGAGATAGAGGGAGTCAGAGAGATAGAGGGAGGTAGAGAGATAGAGAGAGGTAGAGAGATAGAGAGAGGTAGAGAGATAGAGGGAGGTAGAGAGATAGAGGGAGGTAGAGAGAGAGAGAGAGGTAGAGAGATAGAGAGAGGTAGAGAGAGGTAGAGAGAGGTAGAGAGAGGTAGAGAGAGAGATAGAGAGAGGTAGAGAGAGAGAGATAGAGAGATGGAGTGGGAGAGAGATGGAGAGGGAGAGAGATAGATGCAGAGATAGAGGGAGAGAGAGAGGGATAGAGATACAAAAAAAAAGGGATTGAAGAAGAGACAAAAAGAAAGAGAGGCAAAAGAGGGAAGGGGGAAGAAATAAAGATAGAGATACTGATAGAAGGGGAGAAAGAGAAAGAAGGAGAGTGTGAGGGAGAGGAAAAAACGAGAGGGGTGGAGAAATGGGAGGGGGAGAGAGGGGCAAGATCATGGAATGTAAAGGCCGAGAAAGGAAAAAATTGAGAAAGAGAATGAAAAGGCAGACAAAGTGAGAAAGAAAAAGAAAGACCTTGTGGGTGAATGCATGGGAGTAATATCCATCATTCAATACACTTGCCCAGTTTCTGGAAATTTGGCTCAACGAATTACATACATGTACATCATGTTCTGTATGTGTTTTGTTCAAACTCAATCGCTGCAGGGCAATAATTTGTGCAGCATTATGGATAAATCCTTCTATTCTTTATTTCTTGTTCTCTCCTCCCACACAACCTTTCTAATTTAATCTTCCTCGTGTCAATGTTCATAAAGAAATGAACGTCAACATGAATGTCTCTTAATCTCCACTCCATTAAAATTAAAAATTGAAATGTAAATTGCTTCCAGATCTCATAAATAATGACAAATTATTTAAAATTCTAACCTTGTGAAACCAGACAATGCTGTATAATAATTTCTGCTCTTTTTTTTTGTTTGTTTTTTGTTTTGTTTCAGTGTTGGTGCAATTACTACAAAGGTGATAGAATTCATCAAATATTCAAAGACTGTCTCTAATTTAGATTTCTGAAAAGTGCACAAATTACATTAGTTGTAATCCTGAACACGGTATAATGTGTCATTTCAAACAGAAGAGCTTCATACGAAATTATGAAAATTCAAAAAAGAAAATTCCTTGAAACTCTGTGTCATTAATACGCCTTTGGTGGTTAGTTGAGATAAAAAGAATCTTCAAAATGTCTTCTGGATATTTGTCTGGATTCTGATTAAAAAGAAACCCGATTTTTGTTTTCCTTTCCTAAGGATGGACAAAACAAAGTTTGATGACTGAAGACTGCGGGGCTTTCGCAAAAAGAGTAATATCCTTCAAAATATGAACATTCAAAAACTTCCTTTCTCAACTTGCACAAATCTATCACATAACAAACATCATTTTAAATTCTGGTCATGTAATGAGAGACACCGTCTGAAACAATTGGAAAGGCTGATCATGTATCAGTACGGAATTGATGTATAGTGGCAAGTTATGGAATTAAAACAATTTAATAAGAAATGGATTCATCAAGAGGAAAGGTACATGGCCTGCACCAGTGAAAGAAAATACTTGCAGGGGCTCTTATACAATTTGGTGTCATATAAGTGTGATTTTCTCAGTGATATTTAAGTGTTTTATTGTTGTTGTTTTTCCAGGGCTCTTTTTAAATTTACCAAAGCACTGCTGGAGCTTACTCAAGCTGAATTGCTCACTTCTCTCATTGGGGGGGGGGGGGGGGGGGGGGGGTGCTGCACTGATCACAACAAAATAGGTATATTTTGGACTATGTGTGTTATCACTGATTGGTCCAAACACACTTCTTGTCATACATGAATATGAAAGTAGATTTCTTCCAAACTGACATAAAAGAATGCAAGAGCTCAAAAATAATTTTTGTCTTAAACCAGAACCGAGTTTTCTCTGCCAGCAGAAAAGCTGATTTACTCAAGTATTTTTTGAGACGGTAGAGTGTACTGTACATGTACTTCAGCTCCACACTAATGACGTTTCAATGGTCTTCCATTGACGCACTATTCCCATCACACAGATGGAGATGGATAAATAAAGGACCCCTTCAAGGGTCGATTTGCGTACCAGAAATAATGGATAATAGCACTTAAGTCTTGATTAAGTGCTTTAAGAATGATTCCATCATATCTAAATCCGGAGACTTGAAAGTATTCTTTAGTCCGTTTTAATTATTAAACTTTGCCGACGAGCACGAGTGTGGGTGTGTCAATAGTCTGGGTCTGACGACGATCGCACCACGACACAAACTGAATTTCTAACTTCAATCTGCGACCGCACACGATATCTAGCCTTACGGAAGTCCTAAACCGAACATAAAACCAAACAGCAATCCTAACCCTACATCTTTGATGAAACATAGCAAATTTCACCACAGCATGCTTAAGATCACCTGATTTTGATCAGAGTTGTGGTTACCGCTTTGAAAATTTATTTTATTTTTTACTTTTTTCAAACTACCAATACTAACCAGTTCACATGGCATGTCCTGAAGGCATTTTGTTAATTTAAATATCTGCTGGGAACTACAAGGACTTTAGCTCTCATACATGTACTTTATCACCATAGGTTGAATACATACCCTGACCATGTCTCCTGCGCCTCCGTCACAGACTGGTGAATCAGATCTCTCTGCTTTCCCCTTCACTCTCGAGCTATTCACTGCACTGGAAATCAGATTACCATTCTCTGTATGAGGAAGAGGCGGAAAAGAAAACAAAAATGGACATGAAATTCATCATAAATGTGAGGTATTTTCTGTTATACTTTGCTAATGAGATTTTTGCACTCATTTAGGAGCTATTCTTCAGAGCGTTTTGCCAGAAAGACGTCATATCGAGACAAGACGTCATGAAAGACGTCAGAATCAAACTTTATTGGGACTAGGAAGAGAAAAACCGAAATAGAACGAGTGGAGGAACGTTTTAATACCAGATTACTTTGTACATATGTAAGAATGGGTGTGGTACTAGATATCTGACATAACTCACTATTTTTCACAATATTAATAATATGCACGATGTAATCTTCAAGATGTTACTGCATAATGATGGTGCATAAGTTTTACAAGAATTACAAAGATAAATGGTTTTACTATTTTTGTACATTAATTTGTCTCTGATGAAGATGATAAACTAGTATTCGGAGGGAAGGGGGGGGGGGGGACAAAAGCAAAGTTGCTTGTCAGCCATGTCAGGGCTAATCTCCAAAATAATCATATAACATTGTAAACATAAATAGGTACAAAATGCCTGCATACAAGGGTAAACGAATAGCTTGCCCTCTCAGGGCCTTGTGTTAAGTTCTGGTTAGGAAAAAAATAACCGACTCTGCGTATACAATTGTGCATCCAAAATATGATAATATATCGCAGGGCTGTTAGAAATCAATATCAATATACGTTCAGCACAGGAACACGAACAAATAATATCGCGGCCTTGGAAGGAATGCATATCAATCGAAATCAAGCCTTTCATCTTCAATAAGTCAGTGAGGCAACTGAAAAGGTTAGACAGAACTAGCTGCTCATCATTTTTCATCTTAATGAAATATATATCTTGGCTTTCATTGCTACTCTGATACACTTGTGTGTTAATTCTTGTCTAGTCTATTTAGTGTCAAGAAGTTATCAACAATGATCATTTTGCATTTAAATTGATAATAAATAATCTTTGAAGAAAAAATATGTGGGGGAGGTGCCATGGTATAGTGGTTTACTCACTTGACTCTCAGTTAAAGGGTTGAGGGTTCAAATCCCAGCCCAGCACTAATGTGCACCCAGGTGTAACTGGATACCCGATATATATATGCCAGAGCACTAAATATTTGCCCACCAGATATAACCAGGGAAATAGTGTTGGAGCGCCAGGAGTGTCACAGCGAGACAGACATGTGCGCTATTAAAGAAGCCACCAATATCATCTATTATTATGAAGTACTCACTACACTAATATATTGTATTAAAAGCACTGAACAGATATTACCCTGGTCATTAGATTCATTCACTCATACAGTGTGTGCAGTTATGTGCACCATCTCCGTTCCCTGAAAGAATTCCTATATACCTGCCATATGATCACCATATATGGCAAATTAATTCAATTTATTTTTCTCTCTCCCTTTTAAACTCGATCCCCCTCCCTCCCGCCCCTTACAAGAAAAAAAATTGCCATGAAGTTAAACGGATTGTACCTTTAATCTATTTTTCCTTCCTCTCTCCTTAGATTTGAAAGTGGAATTATTTTTTATTTTGTTGCATCGTAGGCCAAAAGTAGTTGAACATTAGCACCTCTAAGAGAGCAAACATTTCATTACTTTCCCAATTGTACTAAGTGCTTTTTTAATGCGCTTTGATATTTGTAAAAATATCCTTGGCAGACAGAAAAACACTCATCCTAAATTTTCTTTTTTTTTAACATAGTTGCCACAATTAATAGTTTCTGAGCTGTTGAAAATAATAGTTCAGGGGAATTCTAAATGGTTTATTTTAATTTGTTAATCATAATAGATTATTTTGACTTTTGAGACAATCTAATTAATCAAATCATACATTTACAGAATCTGGGAAGAAAAGTTTTCAATGAACTGGTCCAAAATACAATTGTGTTTTTGTTCTTTCATATCATTGTCTGGCTTTGAAATAGATAAGAGTGATTTTGTTGAAGCTGTTGGAACACGAAAAGATTAAAAAATTGATGGATAAGAAAGAAAATACTTGGTTGTTATCACAACAAAGCCCAGGCTTGTCAAAGTTTAATTCCATGCTCTACGGGGTTCTGCCCTTTTCATCAATTCTGCCTATAGATCCCAAACCATTTTATCTCCTTCTTTCTACCACCACCACACACTATGCATGCACAGACAGTGTGTACAGATCATGGGTGCGTGTGTGTGTTCTCAGTCTGTGTGTATCTCTGTCTGCAAACCTTCTTTGCTTTGTGTGTGTGTGTGTAAAATGCATGCGCGTGTGTCAAACAAAGCCTAATGTATACTGCTGTGAGCGAAGTGGCGCGTGCCAGGCTTGTGGCCCCAGATAATGAGATGCAAGAGATTCTAGCCCCAGGGAAACTGGAGAAGAAGAAAGAAAAGTTTTGCAGCTCTTTGTTTCCATATGTTTTGTCAAAGACATTGCTCCCATGCCCAACCAGCCTCCAATTATGGTGCATATGTGGATTGACAAATGTGTTTTTTCTGTCATATTATACTTTCAAGTTTCAAGCAATTTGGAGAGGAAAGCGATAGCTATACATTTAAATGGCCCCTTTTCCAAGAAATATCAAACAAGAAGCCAAATTAGGAAAGTCGCAGGAGGAAAATCCAAACTGTCTATTATGTTAATTTTGAGCTAAAATCATCCATTACCTTTTTCAATCAACAACAAAATCATACTTCATATTCACTTTGCTATTACATATCACAATGTAACCTATAGTATACTTTTTTGAAAGGCATTTTGGATATGGTGGAACAAAGAAATTGGTAACAAACTTTCCTAGAGCAAAAAGCTCAGGAACTTGTCAAGGAGAGGTTGGATCTAAAATACAAAATACTGCCATGAGGGCATACCATATATATAGATAAAAAAAACAACAACAATATAATGTCAAAATAAATAAAATAATGACTATTATTATAATAATACTTGATTAAAAGACTTCAAAATGCACATAAATTAAAACTTCCAAACATCTGTATAAAACTGTAACTGAAATTGAACACAAACACTAAATGTCCACACTTGTTTCAAAAATTAATTAAATTAATTACAAAAAGTACATACAGTATCTTAGTATACTATATAAAAGTTCAACTATTTGTAATAAAGAAAGAGTAAAAATATACAGGTATCTTTCCTACAAATTGTTTTTGCAGTATTAAACTAATCTGCATTCTATGCATGTGGTTAGAAATTTTAATCTTTGATTTATCCTCCAGAAATGCTGTTGGTCTACCAGCAAAACAAAATGGCTATTGAACGTGGTTAAACGGATTCAAAAGCATCTAAAGAAAGGAAGTTTTCCAGCCCGCAGAGTTCCTCCGAAAGGATGTGAGAAGAGTAGCCGAATAATCTCTGAGATTTAAACACAATCATAGAAACCACAGAGCGGTGATGCTGTAAACTTGCAAGCTGTAAACTTTAAAAGTTCTTTGACATTGTAGTACTGTACTCTCCCCATAAATGCACATGTAATTTTTTTAAATTACACACCTCTTTCTCAAAGTACATTGCAAAAAGAATGTGGTTTCTATGCTAAAACAATTCAACACAAGCAATTTTCTTTCTAAAAAAATTAAAGTAAGAAAATGAATGTATTTTAAAAATAAAATTTGTAGAATTATTAGGGGTATGTATGAGAAGAGTTTGGAGGAAGTTGTAACTTGTAAGTACAACAATGTACCTTAAGAAGGACAGGAGATAAAGAAAAAGGGAAGAAATTACTTAAATGTACACAATGAACTGAGATAGAGAGGAACAGAAAAACACATAAAAACAAGAAGTAAAACAAAAATGGGAAGAGAGAAAGAAATGAAAAGGTAGAGGAAAGAAAGAAAGAAAGAAAAGATAAATGAAAGAGTAAACAGGGACAGAGAATAACTGAGAAAGTAAACAAAAAACAGACAAAGAGAAGAGATCCATTGAAGAAACAAGATTAGGGACAAACAATCCTTCTTGAAATTAAACTTGGAATTACTTGTACAATGTAGTTTTAAGAAAGGAATTGGAAATATTTGAGACATAGTTGTAAACATGTACAAGAACTGGGTGAGCAAAAAAGATATGCCAAGTATAAAACATGTGAATTAAACAAAGGAGCACAAAAACTGAGAGAAACAGAGGGGAACACATAACAAAATATGACAAATTTAAAATTAGATATTAAAATAAAGAAATGTACAGAAAAGCCAAAAGTAAAACAAAATGTAGCGATGTATCGATGTATTGGGCGCTATATAAAAGCTGAATATTATTATCATTATTATAAAAATAGATTCAAAGAGGCAGAGAGAGATACTGTACAGAAACTTACACATAAAGAGACACACAGAGAGAAGAAGAGAGAAAAGGAGACAGAGAGAGCTTCAGAAAGAGTGAGAGGGGGAGAGAGATGGGGGAGAGATAGAGAAACTTGCACATAAAGTGAGACAGAGAGAGAAAGAGAGAGAGAAAAAGAGACAGAGAGAGCTTCAGAAAGAGTGAGAGGGGGGGAGAGAGAGAGGGGGGAGAGAGATGGGGGAGAGATAGAGAAACTTACACATAAATTGAGACAGAGAGAGAAAGAGAGAGAGAAAAAGAGACAGAGACAGAGAGCTTCAGGAAGAGAGAGGGGAGAGAGAGGGGGGGGGGAGAGATAGAGAAACTTGCACATAAAGTGAGACAGAGAGAGAAAGAGAGAGAGAGAAAAAGAGACAAGAGAGAGCTTCAGAAAGAGTGAGAGGGGAGAGAGAGAGGGGGAGAGAGATGGGGGAGAGAGAGAGATAGAGAAACTTACACATAAATTGAGACAGAGAGAGAAAGAGAGAGAAAAGAGACAGAGACAGAGAGCTTCAGAAAGAGAGAAGGGGAGACAGAGAGCTTCAGAAAGAGAGAGGGGGAGAGAAAGAAAGAGAGAGAGAGACAGAGATAAAGAGATAAAGAAAGAGAAACAGAGAAAGAGAGGGAGAGAGAGATATGGAATGGAGCCCTGACT